CGTGGGGCATGAGCTGACAGTGCAGAGCTGCTGCTGGCACCCACAGCATGGGTGCAATGCTGTGTGAATATGAGGCAGAGCTGTGCAGTGCTGGGGCAGCTCACTGGAGTGCAGTGCTGGAGCTGAAGCTGACAAGGAGCTGAGAATAAAGATCCTGTGGGAAACAGGGCAAGAGCTGAAATCACTGGTGTGAGCTTCCTATCAAGTTGTTGGGGAAATATTGAGCGTGGTGAAATCATGGGGCATGAGTTGGAAATCAAGCTTCGCAGGGGTACAAAGGGGCACTGAAATAATGGTCCAAGTGTTGAAAATAAGGATTCAGGGGGGAAGCAGTGCCTGTGCTGTCAGTGCAGAGCTGCTGCCCAGACCCACAGCGCAGGGCATGGAGCTGTGAGCAGAGCTGTGCAATGCTGGAGCACACCCACAGTGTGCAGTGCTGGGGCTGAAGAAGACAAGGAGCTGAGAATAAAGATCTTGTAGGAAAAGGAGCAAAAGCTGAAATCACTGGTGTCCATTTATTACAATTCTTCATTGGGGGAAACAGGGCAAGACATGGGTTGCAAATCAGGATGTGTGAGGGGACACAGGGCAAGGGCTGAAATCAGTGTGTGTGAGCTGGTAATGCAGAGCTGCTGCTGGAACCCAGGGCACAGGGGTGAAGCTGTGTGAGTGAGGCAGAGCTGTGCAGTGCTGGAGCTGAATGAGAGCAGGAGCTGAGAATAAAGATGTGAGCAGAATCCACAAGAGCTGAAATCGCTGGTGTGAGTTTCTTACAAAATCTCACAGAGGAAATAGGACAGGAGCTGAAATACTGGGATGTGAGCTGGAAATAAAGCTTGAGGGGGAAACATGGTGGCACGAGCTGACAGTGCAGAGCTGCTGCTGCAGCCCACAGTGCAGGCATGAAGGCACATCCATCTGCTGGAGCATTTCCTGCCTGGATCTGATGGAGCGGAGCTGGATCTGAAACAGAGACAAGTTGCGAAGATTCTTGGAGGAAATATTGGGCACAAGGTGTGAAAACTTCACGTTCAGACAGTGCAGTGTAAAGCCAGGGTGCTGTTTGCTCGAGTATCCAACTCCTGGGGGTGACACGCACACCGTGAGTTGCACCTTTCCAGAACTGAGCCAAAGTAAATGTGCAAGCAGATGGCACATCCAGCAGCTGGAGCTGTCGGAAGGTAGAGCTCCTCTTCCACAGACTGCAGCATCTGTAAGATGGGGCAGATCTGAAACCGAAACGCAAGGCGTGCCCTGGAAATACAGATCTTGACATGAGGCACAGGTCGTGAGCTGAAATGTTGGATTGGGGGTGAACGTGGGATGTGGGCAGAGGTAGAAATGCAGCCGCCAGCAGAGCTGTGGGAAGCCAGAGCTCTTACTTGGAGTGAACAGCACCAGGATTGGAACTGCGGGGACAGAGCTGGAAATGTGGGCCCTGGGGAATGGTGGGGCCACAGCACCCCTGGGTGCAGCTCCTGTGCCCAGCTGCTGTGTGCATGTGGAGCTGGCAGCAGGAGCTCTGCCTGCTGGTGGATGCCTCATTTCTCGTGTTTGCTCTGGCTGCTCCCTGGGCAGTTCCAGGCTGAGGATGGCAGTTGAACCCCAGCAGCTGCTGCCCACTATTCCAGGGAGCAGCAGCACCCTCAGCCCAGCCTGAGGATACGCAGGGACTCTGCTGGGCGCAGTCCTCAGTGCACAGTCATGCCAGGGTCCAGGCCTGGTGCTGCTCAGCCCTATCATCCCCCCGCGGTTCCAGGCATCTCCATAATAAACTTAAAGATCATCTTTTGTCAACTTAAGGTATATTTATTCAAGTGCATCACTAATGCGGCCACTTCTGCAGCCCATGAGATGGGCACACCCACAGCAGTGCAGTTATCCCTGGGCTCTGCAGCTGTGGGGCTGCTGCTGCTCAGCTCCTCCTGCCTCATGGACTGCAATGGAAACCATGCATCTTGGTGTTTGAATTTGTGTGAAGCAGGAGAGTGCAAGAAGAAGCGCTGGGAACACACTGCATCAGGCAGATAAGTGCAAGGGAACGGGCCATACAGCTTCTGTGAATGAAAGGAGAGCAAGTAACAGCAATAGTCACGTAACTCACTGGACTAATTTAGTTAACCTATAAATTCCATCATGTTCCATAATACGTTTCATTCAGGTTACTAAACTAGACCTAAAGCCTCACTGCAAAATCAAACTGCATTCCGTAGAGGATGCACTGCACTTGCTGACATGCTCCAATATTTTGGTCGCTCTCCCTGCTGCTGTAGCCTGAAACCCCCACAGCTGCCCAGTTCCTTCTGCTCAGGTGTCCTGTGGCAGGAAGGATGCTCCCTGCTTTAGGTCCTTGCTCTGCCACTGGAACAAGTTTTCCAAACTCTAAGTTCAGAGCTACAAGTCAAGATTCTAGCTGTGTGATTAAATTTGATGTTTGTCCCCAAAACTGCGTGCAACGTACCTGAATCCAGGGCAGGCTGAATAGGACTCAAATACATTCTCAGAAAATCTACAGGGCTTGAACATTCTTCAGCTTTACACAAGTAGCCAATAGTCTCTGCTGGGATGAGCAGCTCAGGGGCGAGAGTGTGCAGACTGTCACTGCTGGCCTTGCTGTCACCCTGTGGAACAAAGAGCATTTTGATGCAGGTGCAGCAAGGGCACAGGGCTACAGGTTACCTAAGCAGCAGGACTGGAGCTGCTCCCCATTCCTGTGTCCTTTGGGAGCACTCAGGGACAAAGCCCAGGAGAGGCATTCATGGGACACAAGCCTGTAGCAGTGCTGTGAATGATCTCAAACGATCTCACTCAAACAACCACACAAAACAGGCAGACACAGGTCTGAGAAGCAGCGCAGAATAAAGCAATGACTTTCGGTGATGCTTCCATGCTGCCTCCAGAATCCTCTGAGCGTGCTGATGGACTCTGCGGCTGCTGAATGGTGTGGGGGAGTGCAGGGCTGGGGAGGGAAAACTGAACTTTACCTCAGCAGATTTTAGCACATAGTCTGCCACGTTGACCAGGAGCGTAAGACACTCTGCGACCACCTCTTCTATAGACTGTGATTGCGTTGAGTCTTCTGGATGTGTCGCAGGAGGCGTCACCACTGCCACATCCCACCTCGCGAACAGCCTGCTCGGGATGTTGTGTGCCACCACCAGGGCTTTGATTTCCTGGAGAAGAGCACTGAGTGGAAAGGAAGTGAATTCTGCCCTTGAGAACAGCAAGCAGTTTGTATCATCACATTCATGTTTCATAACCCAAGCAACGCGCAATCTGCACTCAGTGTTTCCTGAGCACAACGTGCTGCACATGTTGCACATCTCCCACCCTGGCCCTCGTGCGAAGCGGATCATCCAACAGAAGCTTTTTTCCAGTTGTGCTCTAACAGCTGCGCAAGGGTCTGAGCAGACAGGTGGATGGGAGGGTAAGAAACGAGCAGAAAAGCAGACGGGATTTAGTGAGCAAATGGAGGTATGGGATGCTACTGGGCCCATGGCACTCAGAAGGAGAATGAAAAGTCAGTGTAATTGTACCTAACGTTCTGATTAACCCGAAAGGAGCTGCCTACCACTTCTGTTACAATTTTTTTTTCAGCAAAGGTAATGGAAACCACTCACCTAGGACCCTGATTTTGGAGAGAAGCAAGAGCTCGGATGAGAAAATGTATTGTGCTACTGCAAGACTGCAGAGGAAAGGGTAGAGTTTTTATGAAATTGCATATCTTAAAATACTATCTGAATAAAAAGTAATTCTTCAGTATCCATCCTGTAAATAGTCCTTGCCTTTGAGACCCATGCTCTGAGGACAAAGCATGTTCCCATCGTGCCTGACAGCACTTCATGCTGTCACATCCCTCCCTGCTCTGGGACAGTTCGCTTCAGTACAGGGGGCAGCAAATTCCAGAGGAAAGCTGCCGACTCCACACCCCTCAGCCCTTAGCTCTCACTTTAAACCAGTGGGAGTCAGAGGCGGTCACATGTTTGCAGTCAGCTGCATCTGAACAGCCTCGTTTGTACAAAGCTGAATTGAGGCCATTGGATCCCTCTGGGAATTCCTTTAACTTACTTCCACTACATGAAGAACATGTCTGGAACTGAGAAGCAGCAGCCCCGAAACTCGTTCTCTTGTGTGGTATTCTGACGCGTCTTCAAACAATTCTCTGTGATAACCTTGTTTCAAAAGAAGTAGTTTGTTACAAAGCCCACAGTGGGAGTTCCAGCAGGTCAGTTCTCTGTCCTGCGTGCTCAGATTTACAAATTACGCTTTTTTTATTCAGAAGCATTAAAGTATCACTTTAACGGGAACATGCGGATTGCTTCTTGAAGCATGCAGCATTACAATTTGTGTCAGCTCCTAAATCTGCACCCAAACCTCACTACTAGGCGTAGCTGGAGTCCAATTCCTGTTGGCATTCATTGAATCACAAAATCACGAGTTGGAAGGGAGCTCTGAATGCCGCGTGGTGCCACTCCCTGCAGTGTGCAGGGACACCCACAGCTCCATCAGTGCTCAGAGCCCCGTCCAGCCTGACCACGGCTGTGTGCAGGGTTGGGGCACCACCACCTCTCTGGGCACCCTGTGCCACTCCTTTACTCCAGAGGTGCAGCTGCACCGTTGTTGCTGTGGAATGCACTGCCTGCAGGCCCCAAGCATGGAGCACAGCCACACTTCTGCACGTGCAGCTGAATTCCTGCCTCTCCCCGACATTGGCACCAGCTCATACAAACGCTCTGGGAAAACAAACAAAACAAAACAAACAAAACCCAACTCCCTTAATGCTCCTCACAGGCAGAGCCACCCACCTGCCACCTCCTCCTCCGTCACCTCCTCGCGGAGTCGGGCCACGACCAACAGCCGCTGCAGCGGGACGCGGCACTGCGGGCAGAGCACAGCGCGCACAGCTCACCACAAAAGCCGCCGCCGCCGCCCGGCCCGCCGCCCGCCTACCTGCAGGGTTCGGCGCAGCCGCCGCCGCCGCACGGACAGGAGGTTCCTCCGCTCCAACTCCAGCGGCTCCGGACAGCCGCGTCGCACGGCTCCCGTCTCCTCCTCCATGGCCGGGCCCTGCGCCGGGCGCCGCCGGTGGAGGCCGCGCTGCGCTCGCGGAGCCGGGGAACGGCCGTTGTGCCGCGCGCCAGGGCCACGCCTCCGGCTCGGGCAGGTGCTGCGAGTTCCGGCAGCCACACGAGGCCCTGGGGATGGGTTGGATACCGAGCTGAACGCGTCGGCGGCACAGCCCGGCCACGTTTCTCCTCTCGAGGACGAGATGCACCTCCAAGCACATCTGTTCTCCTGGCGGAAGGCTTTAACCGCGCTGCACCGCCCGTTCCCAGCCCACCCTGGAGGAGTGTGTGCCACTGGGCTCAGCGCCGCTCGTCCCATCGCTGCGCCTCGGCTGAGTTGCTCCGGCAATATCAGCCCCACCGCCTGCCAGCATACTGCCATCAGCGCAGTCCCGTGGGAACGTCAGCAACCGCGGAGCGCAGGGCGTGGATACGGGAATCCAGGCTGTAAGCCGCGCCCCGAGGTCAGTTGTGCACCCTGGCAGTTACAGGGGCTACAGCTCAGGGAAGCCTCGTGTCTTATGTATGGTTACACGTTAAATAGAACAGAATCCAGATGTCCTAAGTGCCAGGTAGTGCTTTAACCCCCAAAAGCATAATTATATACTTGGAATAACCAACACCGCGCTCCTGCCTCAGCTCGCTGTGCTCAGCTTCGTGCATCCAGCTCAGGTCTGCAGCTGCGCTGAGTGCTGCTAGAGGTGAAATGGGGGCTGCGTTAGGGAGAAGGGTCTGTCTTCTTAAATAAAACTTAGAAAGCAATATGAGTTACATTAATCCTCTGCTAATTATTATTATTTACACCAATTAACATTAGTTGATGTCATCTGGGATCAAGCGGCGGACTGCTATGCGAAGTAGGCCCAGAGGAAGACCCCTGCACATATGCTCAGTATCAAGTTGATGTTCAGGACATGCTTCACCAGTGGGTTCTCCTCCAGGGAAGCCATGGGACACTCGGGTTTGGCTGACGCCACATCCTCAGGGTTCTCCTGTCTGCATTCCATCCCACAGAGCCACAGGAGGGTTCTCACCAGCTTTGAGTCCTTCTTGGTGCCAGTCGGACCTACAGGGCAGCACAGAGTAAGTGTCACCAACTGCAGATCCCAGATCTATGTCAGTATGGCCCTGCACAAAGGGCTTTGATGCAGAAGTGCATTCTCACTCTTCAGACAAGTACTCTAGCTACTCTGAGGTGTGGGAAACCCTTCAAATAACATCTATTTGGGCTGTATGCCTATTTCTTTCTTCCTTGGAGATCTGAGCTCAAGCTCTGCTCTTCCCAACATTTCAGGAAGCAGTAACAGCATCAATCTAAAAGCCCATCTCTAAGTATTTGGAGCCCACCAGCTTCCTTTGCCACGTGCATACTTTGTCCAGTTAGGGTTACTCCACATTACATGTGTGGAAAGGAAATTCTCCCAGCTTTGGCTGGATTGGGCCATGTGTGACAAAGCATCAGTTTGCAACAAGAACGAGACTTCTCAGCACTGAGAGATCTGCACTTCACTTCCTCATTACCTTACTGATCTTTTCCTTAGCTTTTTATAGATCAGAGGAATACACAGCTGCACAGTTGCATAAACAGTGTCCCAAGCCTGGCAAAAACAAGTGATGGTAACCATTGCTGGAAAATGCAGAATGAGTTGCTGTGCATGTTTGTACCTAATACCGACAAGCACAAGTTTTAAAAAATGTAAATCCTCCTTCACTGATCTGTCAAGAACTCCGCCCAGGGCTCTGGGTTCTCCCTGCTGCTAGAGTCCATCAGAAAACATCACTGAAAAACAGAAATGGAATTTCATGAAAGTAATTGTGTTTTTCCTCCACCCTCCCCTTTCAATCAGTTCTCCTTGCAGCAGGTGCAGGCAGCACTAGGCTCTATGCAGGACAGTGGCATGGCTTTCTGCATCCCATCCAGCTCCTTCTTGATTTCAAGCATATGTAATGCCATCAAGAGATGGAAAAGAAACTAAGCTTTTGCTTAGGTGAAACTGTCAGGTAAAACCCTTTAGCATGCCCTGAAGATACAGAAATCCAGAGGAAGCAGTTTTAACTGTTCTTGTCTTCAGGGTGCACAATGCCTAGGGTTGTTAATTGTGGGTGTTACTGAGTATGGTGTTGGAGCACTTACATTTGTTATCATTTGTACTATTTTCAGAAGCAATGCTTATATCAATCTGGAGAGCTGGGCGCTCAGCTTCGCGTGCTCCTTTGGCAGTGTCAGGAGAAGTGCTGACCGCTAGGTCTTTCTTGGCTGGAGGATCCCCACGTGTGAACCAGGTAAGCCGACTTATCTGATGGCATGAAGAGTGGTGTTAAACTGCTTTGCGGTCGCTTAAAGGACTGCCTGAGCAGTACAGCAGCCTGCAGAGAGAACACTGTGAGGGGTTGAAGTCTGTCCTCCCGCTCTGCTGGAGCAGGTGAACGGCTCAGTGCCCCGCTGCTGGCAGCAGAGCGGCGCTGGGTTAGTTTTATCTGCAGCCTGAGAGCTCTTGGAAGGAAGGAGGTCTTCACTTTTGGTTACTGCGTGGGTATCGCTGGATGCAGCCTGAGCGGGCCAGGGAAGGGAGCAAAAGAATGGAAACCGTGGCCAGTGAGGAATGATTCACAGGACGGGAGTTGTTTAGAGAAGAAAAGACAGATGGGAGATAGGATAATTTTCTTGAAATATGTCAAAGGCTCATTAAAGAGGAGTGTTCTCGATACCAGTGACAGGGCAGACATGAAGGGATGAGCACAACATGAAGCTGGAAGGATTCAAGTTGGAGAAGAGGAAAAACTTCTGCAAAGAGGGCAGGATGTTGAGCTGGTGGTGCGCTTCCCTGGGCACCTCCCTCTGGGGGCTTATGGGAGCGAGTTCACCATGGATCTTTCAGAAATGCCAGGTTAGTCCTGTCTCGAAGCAAGAGATGCATTGGCTGTACGATTTCTGAAGGTCCCTTCTGGCCCTCCTTTCTGCTATTTACGTTTTTTTTGTAGCCTCAGTATGTCTATTAAAAGTAGTCAAACTGGCACAAACCTGTTCCAGAGGAAGTGTGCTCTCTGCCCTTGATTTCTCTTTTCTGCGAGTAAAAATGGTTCCTCACTAAATTAGTAAGAGTTCATAAAGATGACCCAGAATCTGGAATTTCTTGGAAAATAGAGGGAAAAAGCTAGTTTGTTATGCATTAAACACACACGTTTGAACTTAAGAACAGCTCTTTGTAACATCAACTGTTGACCTGTTTCCAGGGTGGAACTGTGGATATACTGGACCAAAACCTTAAAAGGAAAGCAGCAGGGCGCTGGAGCAAAGGAGGGATTGCTGTTACAGGTTGCTACAAGTGTTTTGGTGGACTGAGAATGGGTGGAAACGCCCATTTCCAGATTATTTATCTCCGCCTCATTCCCATGGATGTAACGAGAGGCATCCATTCACCAACAAGGGAAGCAATGGGAGGGGTGGACGCACCATTTCCTCCGAGGGGGGCTCCGTCAGCAGGCTGACAAGCAGCACGGTGAGCGTGGAGACGGCCGCCAGGACCATGGAGAAGTAGAGGTAGTGCATGTAGCGCAGCACGCCTGGCCGCGTGTCCCGCTCCCCGCACTGGGGCTCAGGGAAGATGAAGTCCAGCACCAACCGGATGACGCCCATCAGCAGCCCGATCACCAGGCCCCAGAACGCGCCCTGGGAAGGGAGGGTTATTTGCTGGAGCAGGAAATGTCAGCCCGCCCAGGACTCAGGGCTATCAGCTGCCAGGCTTTCTCCTTCCTGTTTGCTTGTTAGGCAGCCTTCCATCCCTCCTTTTCCCACTTGTGCTGTTTTATCTAGGTGCGCTGCTGCTGTTACAGTAGTGTGGTGTCTGCCCTGTATTGGAGACCAGAGGGCCATTCAAGAGGGATGTTTGCATCCCAATGGCTGCTTTAACCACAGGTGCTACTGACTGCCCTCCAGCAAAGCGAAGCCAGGTTTGAGAAGGCTTTACACCCCATACTCAGCACCAGGTGAGGAGCTGCAGGCTTTGGATTCCTGGTGCCATGCTCCTTAAATATGTGGGCCCCCTGGTGCAGATCACACAAGTGCATCTAATGAATGGCAAGCAAGGCCCTAACGAGCTTCAGGCTTTATGAAGGGCACCTTGCAGCCAAGCAATGTAGTCCTCTCACTGCTTACAAAACCTCTTTTGAAAAGCACCAGGAATTCCTGCCTCAGGGATGACTGTCCAGCACTGCCTAGAGGGGCTGTTACCTTCTCATTTGCTCGCTTCCAGAAGCAGCCCAATATGAACACCATTGCCACAGGGGGCTGCAGGTAGGAGCTGATGGATTGGATGTAAATGAAGAGCTGCCCGCCTTGGCCAGCCTGGACCAGTGGGATCCACAGGATAGAGACCACCGTAAGTAGCAGCACAAAGACCCTATGCAAGAAGATGTCGGTATTGTTAGCTCAGATGTTTCTTTTCCAATTGTCCATCTCACAAAGCTCCTTCTGAGATCACTTGTAACCATGAGGCCTCAGCTTTAGCACTGCAGCAAACCTGTACACTATGGGGCTCTCAGCCCATTTTCTCTTATCGTGGATCCCTCACGACATACCTGCCAATGATCATGAGCTCCCACTCGGAGCATCGAGGCCGGAAATGTTTCCAGAGGTCCATGGTAAAAATGGTGCTGGCACTGTTGAAGATGGATGTGAGGGAGGACATGAGGGCTGCTATCATCACGGCCATCATCAGGCCCCTGAGTCCTGGAAGCAGAAAGATCAGTGCAGCCTCACTGAGAATCCCAAATAACCACTTGCTGTATGCTGTCCCTCACCACACTTCCATCTAGCCCAATGTAGCCCCACCAAATTACAGCTGCAGGTTTTTTCCTTTCTGGCTTTTCCTGCCCAGGCTGCTCACCTACAGGCAGGAGCTCTATCACCAACTTCGGGTAAGCGATATCAGAACAGCCGGATGGGTTGCCACAGATTTTCTGACAAATCTCTGGCTCTGCGCAAGCCACCAGGTCTGAAATAAGCAAGGCAGGTGAGAAGCAATATTCAGGGGTCAAAAGAAACAGTATAGCTGAAGGCTGCTGCAGGAGGATTTGCATTCTGCTAGTTGTAGCTGGGAGGAAGTTTTGTCATACTTTGGGACTTGATGTCCTGCAAAAGCTGTCTCAGCTGCACAGAATGGACACAACCCTGTAGCGGCTGCCAGAGGGAGCAGAACTCTCCTTCAGCACTGACCTGGGAAGAGGACCCGGCTGATCATGCCTGGCATCACCATCATGAAGAGGGGCAAAATCTTCAGGTAGGAGGTCATCAGGGAGCCTCCCTTGGCGTGTGAGAGA